ACAGCTTATGAAAGGAGCATGTTTTAATTAAGTTGTTATTTTTTAATACATTTTTTTACTGTATGTGTACTTAAAAGTACCATTCTGGCAGCAAGAACGATCCTGAACTAAATGAAGATTAATGTCTTGGCGTATGTGTTTATTGAACCAATCAGATAAGAGTAACTGGAGAGTCAGCGAGAGGCTCATTTGATTGGCTACTGATGATTTGGATTCAGTGTCGAAAATATTTCATTCAACAAAGCATCCACTGAGCTTCACAGGAAATGGAAGATTTCTATAAACACAGCGTCTCTTGTTGTTCACATTCCAGCTGCAGTGGGTACAATAGACTCAGCTGCCCCGAAACACATATCTCCAGCATCACTCTGGCTTGACCGCCAGCACAATAATAGCGGCCACATCTCCAGTGTTGTGTTCCTGTTGCCGGGGGAGACCCCAAGCCATTGTCCAAGGCACAAATATACTCACTTCCTGTGGGACGATGGCATAAAACCTGTGAGTCATATTAACAGTATTCAAGAAGACCGTAGGGAGCTGATCAGAACCTTAGTAGGCATCGCATATAGAGTCCTAAGACAGGAAGTGGTCACAGGGACTTATGAGAATTACTTGCATGTCTGCAATCAGAGTTAAAAGTAATCGTTAACTCACCCTTGATGTTCCAAACATGATTCTTTCTTCCGTGGAACATAAAGATAGATGAAAGATGAAGTAAAATCTAAAAAAAAAAAAATAATTAAATAAAATGTAAATATTAATTAAGGAATAGAAATGTTGGCTTGGTAACTAACTGAAACAAGTTTAAGAACTAAAATTACTAAAACCATTAACTGAAAAAAAATCTATATTAAAACCCCCAAAATAAAAATAACCCTAATAAAAATGCACACAACACAATTACTAGAACTTAAACTAAAATTGAAAATATTAAAATAAAAGCAAATATAAATTTGAATAAATACTATAATACAGAAATAATTCTAAAACAACTCGTGCTTTATGTATTCTGCTATTTTTATGTAGAGAACAGATGCAAATAACGACTGGTGTTTGAGACCCAATGTTTTGTCACTGACCTAAAAACCTGTAGCAACACCTTCTGACAAAATATTTGACTGTTTGTAAAGGGAACATGATATATATATA